ATATATATATATATATATATTTTTTTTTTTTCAGTCAAATGTTGGAAGAATTTTTTAAAAATTTATTCATCACACATACAAAATTTTTATTTTGTCACTAAATCATGTCAAAATACAAAATATATGTATAATTATTAAACGAAAGGAGAAAACCTCATGAGTGTTATAAATAATAACTGTCTACCTCAGTTAAAATTATTATGTAAATCAGTTAAAATTATTATTTATATCAGAATCTTATTAGTAACCGTAAATATGTAAATCAATTAAAGTTATGATATAAATTTATATCATAATCTTATTAATAACGTAATAGTAAATATTATCGAAATAATAACGATAAATAATGTTAAAAATTTTCTTATAAATAAAATTTTAAGGTTTTTTATATTATATACTTTCATGAGATTAATAAAACTCTCTTTTTAATTTTTCTCTCTAAAATTTTTAGTTTTAGTTTTACATTTTCTTAATTTTCATATGTTTACAAGTTTCTAATGTTATTGTCGATATTCATTCAAATAAAGTTTGGTATTTTCTTTTTATTTTGGATTAGAAGGATATGATAATATTTTTCTTCAGAGAATATGTGTCTATATATATATATATATATATATATATAAGTATTGAGTAAAGGAAAAGGTAATAGAGACGGGGCATCAGAGGGTGACAGATTAAAGCTGAGGCCTGGGAGACAGGTTTGCTTGTTTCCTCTGGAGAAATATGCAGAAATGTGCAGGACTTGAAACTTTGATACTTTTTCTTTTTTATATTACATCAATTTCAATATTAAGACGACGAAGAATGTAAAAGAGTAAAAGGAAAGACCTTAACGACGTCGTCAAATTCTTCAGAAGGAGATATTGGCGGGCTATCAGTCTCTGTCAGTGACCCGCCATTCAATGGCCCACTGCTGTGCGAGAGCCTCCCCGATGTTAATGGCGATACCTCCTTTAAACAACAAACACAGAAAAACCAATAAACTCAAACGAACGAAAACAAAAGTATTAACAAACAAGACAGCGTAAAAACAAAAGGGAAAAACTACTTTGGTATTCTGAGTTTTTTTTTTTTTTTCCTTAAATAAAAGAAGAACATGCTAAAGAAAAGGCTTTAGGTTCGTTCAGTTCGAGTTCGCCGATACGTGGTTTTTTTTTTTTTTTTTAGAGGTTTTAACGGTAGTAAAAAAATTAAATATCATTTTTTATGGGAATTTTTAAATATGGCAAAATTAGAATTGAAAAACATGAAGCGGAAAAAAAAAAAGAAGAAGAAAAAACCTCTCTCATGGACTGCGACATTATACGGTCAAGCACGAGCTGGGAAGTGGCGGAGGAAGCGAAAGAGAACTGGTTTCCAGCTATGGTGGGGATGATTTCCTCGGATTCTCCGATGATGTCTTCGGCAATGGAAGTGGTGGTACAAGAAGAAGAGCTTCTTAGGGACTTGGAAGAAGGAGGAGGAAGAGGAGGAGGAGGAGGGTTGGTGTTATTGTTGGGAGCCAAAGCTTTGGAAACTTGGAGAGCTGAGGCACTCCATGACCTTGAGAGAAACTCCATTGGAGCTCTTGGGCTCTCCGGCAGGTTGGAAATGCTCGCCGGAGAGTACTCCGGCCGGCGAGAGGCTCTTAGATGCAGAGTCTCTTCCATGAAAGTGGGTGGAGAAAAGGTGGTGAAATGAGACCGGTTTTGGACTAGAGATGGAAAGGTTTTGTTTTATATACAAGTGAAGAGACTGAGAATTGGTTTATTGGCTCTTTCTAACGTGTATATAGTAAGTTTTGGTCAACAGTGAATAAAGGGCGGTGTCTGGCTTATGGTTTAGTGGCATGTGGGTTACGTACTTTTGCTGTGATTGGTGGAAAGATAACCGGGACCCACAAGACTTTTTTATGATCTCTATTTAAAGAAAAAATTTTACCTTGTTTTTGTTTTTATTTTTCAAGTTTTTTTAAAAAATAAAATAAAAATAATTTTAAAATAGTATTTGGTATAATTAAAAATTAAAAATAAAAATAATTTTTTAGTTTAATATAAAATGAGAGAAATAAAAACCAATTTTTAGTTATTTTTTATTTTTTATTTTCGTTTTTTTCTCTCGAGCAGGGAGATACATTAATATGTTTTTTTATACTGAAAATAATCTCTTAATAAAACTAATAATTTTGAAAAGAGTTTTAACCGCACCCTTTAAGGTGGAATTATACTTTTTCTTTGCCAGGTTATTGTTTTAATCGTTAAATTAATGTAAATTTTTAGGATTGAACTCACATTTCTCTTATTCATTTTCTTTTCGTGTTCTTCTGATATTTCAATTAAAGTCTTTTAATTGTATGATTAATTAATTGACGTGATACAAAATTTAAATAGAAATAGCATTTTAACAAATGTTGCATGATATTATTGAAAAAAATAAAAAAAAGCACAGAAATAATAAAACACGCGAGTCAATTTTAAATTTTTAATATTAACACTCACTCATTAAATCGTTGAAAAATTAATACAACTATTATAACTTCTAAAAGACACTTCTACCTAGAAGTTCTCTTATTAGGAACTCCTAAAGTTGTGACAGATTAGTCTCTTTTTTCCGCTGGTTAATAACAGATTTTGGTGTCTTAAATGTTAATTCAAAGATGCTTTTATTTATACCTCCGCCCAAGGTGGGGCTATAGAGGATGACTTGTGTAGGATTCAGAAGATCATGTGAATTTGTGACTAATCACTCTGTTCAAAAAGAGCTTTATAAGCTAAGATTGTTGGAAATTGGTAGTAATTAACTACTTTTATGCAACATTTTTATTGGTTTTATTTTGATGGGTTTTTGCACATCACTCTTTCCGATTCCTCTTTTCCTTGTCTTCGTTTCTCTTTTCAGTTAACTGGTGTATCACACTGAGGTCAACAAGGGCTGCCAGCATTACAATGATGTTGTGTCACGTTTCAAATCAGCCTGAAATATCAGGCAACTAGTGATGTGCTTTCACATTAGCAAACTTCACAAGCTAGAGCAATTTTGTGTAAGCCCCTAAATTCAGTTCATTTTTATATGGTCCTCTGGTTCCTCCAATCTCTCAGCTGAAACTTGGAAGTATCTTTTTAGCATTAAAAAGGTTTTGATCGGCAATTCAAACTTTTTTGTTATAGTATTTTCTACTATAAAAATTTAAAATTTTATTCAAATTTTCTACTTAAACTCATGAACTTATGGTCCGTTTAGTTTACTGATTCGAGTTTTTAATTCGAGTTGAGATATTATTTTATATGAGAGCTTTTTACTGTAGCAAAAAAGTTAGATGTAACTATTCTTAAGAGCTTTTTACTGTAGCAAAACTCGAATTCTAAACTCGAATCGGTGAATGAACAGGGCCTAAGTGAACGTGACCGTAATATTATACTTAATGCCATCGCATGTCGTTGAGTTTAAAATTTAAAACGTCTAAAACGATGAAAACTTGCTCAAACAAAGATGATGAATAACTGCTAAAACTCCACTTAAGAGGGGTTTTTTTCTTTTTCTTTTAATCTATTAAGAATTACTGGTCCAGATTCAAGAGGGGTCCCAAGTGCAAGCCCAAAAGACATAAGAAGTCAGGGAGGGGCTAGTGACTAGTGAGCTTGAAAGTGGCCTAAGTGATTGTGTTCCTAACCGGTGTTAGGTGTTGGCAACGTCCAAGGCCGACAAGTTTGGGGGTCCAGACAAATTAGGCTCAAAGCTTTTGCCTCTCTACTGTTTTGGGACACAAAGCTGCGCACCAGAGAGAGACCTGTGCTAAAATGCGCGTGCCTGCCCACGTCATCATCTAGTCTTCAGGTCCTTCGTCATATAAATATATTTTTTTATCAAAAATTTTCTGACTAAAGAGGATTAAAGCTGATAAAATTGGAGGGACAGCCTTGAGCCCTGTCTTTTTTGGTTTTTGGGGGTCTTTGTTTTTTTTTTTGGCTTCTGATTATTGACCAAAGAAACAACCTTTATTCCTTTTGCCACATTTTCCCAATGATCATCACCACCTTTCATTTTCCATAACAGTTCAAAGTATGTACTTTTCTGTTTTTTTTTTTTTTTGGGTTATTTCAACCCATGCCATTTTTTTTTCCAATCTCTCTCTAAGTGACATTATTATGATTGTAGTAGGAGCATAGGCTTGCAAGAAGCATATTCACTTGTAATTCATATGGCAATAAAGTTAAGATGCACGCTTGGTGTGGTAAATGCATTATGAGATTTTTATGCACAAACGTACAGTTTATACATCATGACATATAAAACAGTAAAGCTCAGCTTCAATGCTTTGTGGGGTAATATCTATATATCTAATCTATATATATATATATATATATATAGGACCACCAATGCTTTCTTTCTCTCCCTCCGATAAATTAAGCAAAAGATTCTGTTCTGCTTTTGTCTTTCCAAAATTTCAAATAAGAGGAAGGTGTTACCATATATCAACATCAGATGATCTGAAAAGAATTGGTCGTATAAAGATAATTTAGTTTGCGCGAACCAGGTTATTTCAACCCATGCCATTTTTTTTTCCAATCTCTCTCTAAGTGACATTATTATGATTGTAGTAGGAGCATAGGCTTGCAAGAAGCATATTCACTTGTAATTCATATGGCAATAAAGTTAAGATGCACGCTTGGTGTGGTAAATGCATTATGAGATTTTTATGCACAAACGTACAGTTTATACATCATGACATATAAAACAGTAAAGCTCAGCTTCAATGCTTTGTGGGGTAATATCTATATATCTAATCTATATATATATATATATATAGGACCACCAATGCTTTCTTTCTCTCCCTCCGATAAATTAAGCAAAAGATTCTGTTCTGCTTTTGTCTTTCCAAAATTTCAAATAAGAGGAAGGTGTTACCATATATCAACATCAGATGATCTGAAAAGAATTGGTCGTATCAAGATAATTTAGTTTGCGCGAACCACTGATGTCATGTTCAGTAGACTTAGGTGCAGGAGATGTGATTATCTTCTTAAAATAGAACATTTCGTAAAGGGGCGATTAGATTAAGCTATAACTACACGTCTTTTGCAGCTTGTTTCAACAATTTCAGCCATGCAAAACGGCAATTCAAATGATTAGATGTCGAATACAGCTTCTGAAAACCAAAAGTAGGCATGAAGTATATTTTCTTTGTTTCTTTTTCTTTTTTTGATGTCTATCAAGTACTCTTTAAGCACCACTTGACTTCTGACAGAACAAAATTAGTATGTGTGATTAAGCACTCAATTTCACTAATTGCATGAAAAGCAGGCAAGAACTGATTTGTATCCGAAGTATGACAAGATTAAGATTCTTTTAAGAATGATGGGATTAGCATCCGCACAATACAACACGACAATTAAAGTTTCTATAGACTAGACAACTAGAGTCCCCAAATACTACCTAATCAGCCAAAAGTGAGTAATCTACGCAGGAATCCAATAACTCATTAGTGGTCATCGAAGCCGCTGTTGAACTTTCGGTGGCTGTGGCTATCTTTCTGCGGTAAAATAGCATAAAGAAATAACCTATCCAGCCACACAAAAACGAAAGTAAGAGAGAGGAAAAGAAATAAACAAAACATGTCAAACTTGATGGGGAAAAAAAAATCCCCCAATCAGTATGATGAGATATCAATTATTACAAATGGATATAGTGCCCATACTACCACGAAGACAATTATACAAAATCAGTTTATATATATAGACAAGCAACCGGGGGTCTTATCTTTAGTTTCAAAACTTTAGGTCAAATTATCAGATCAAAAAAAAAAAAAAAAACTTTAGGTCAAATTATGTATAATCGTAGCTGTTAAAACGTCTTTAAAGTAATTTTTGATCTATCAAGTTGCCCTAAATTAGTCCTTCCTTGTCCATCTTATTGTTAAAATCTCAAAAAATAAAAAAGAGAGAAGGTAAGTGAAGGCAATACACAGTTTTATAGGATTAATTCTGTAAGTTCACATGTTAAGAGTTTGATTCTTCATGAAGATTTCGAACATTCATATGGACCAAAACAAAAAAAATTATCATAATTTGATAGATCAACAAGTTTTAAGTATATTTTAGAAGAAATAATAAAAAAAAAATTGAGATTGATCTATAATTTAGGACCAAAAAACTTTAGGTCAAATTATGTATAATCGTAGCTGTTAAAACGTCTTTCAAGTAATTTTTGATCTATCAAGTTGCCCTAAATTAGTCTTTCCCTGTCCATCTTATTGTTAAAATCTCAAAAAATAAAAAAGAGAGAAGGTAAGTGAAGGCAATACACAGTTTTACAGGATTAATTCTGTAAGTTCACATGTTAAGAGTTTGATTCTTCATGAAGATTTCGAACATTCATATGGACCAAAAAAAAAATTATCATAATTTGATAGATCAACAACTAGTTTTAAGTATATTTTAGAAGAAATAATAAAAAAAAAAATTGAGATTGATGTATAATTTGGGACCCTAAGCTAAACATAAGTGAAAAGGAATCAACTAAAACAGAAGATGAAAAAGTGGTTTGCGGGTTCTCATAACTGTGACTGTAGATATCAACACAAATTACAAAAAATGGACACTATTCCACTACAATGAGCAATTCCCATTAAAATCAGTTTTATCTATTGGATTGCAATCCACTGCCACCATAGTACTGCTTTGTAGTCTCCCTGGAGAATTCTGCAAAAGTCATCCCGTCCTTTAACCTCGACGATAGCGGCGGTACTATCTTCTCTATATCTTCAATTCTCTGATTCTTCTCACCAATGGCTTCTTCCTCGGAAGACGGAACCGGACGAAGACAATCCGATGCGCGCAAAACTTTGTCCCACGGCGGTTGCAAGAACACCACGAAAGTTTCTCTGCTCAAATTTCCCAACTTCGCCGGAGGTCCACCGACGGAGTGGAGCGTCGCCCGGAGATTTCCCTTCGAAATCACCTCGGCCGATTCGCCGACCTGAAATATAAAGCTCACCGGCGACGATTTCGCTTTGAAAATTCTCTTCTTGTTCGGATCATATATTTGCAGAAAAGTATGGCCGTTGGGGTAACCACATTCCTCATAGTGAGATTCCGCTGATTGAAGGAGAAACATCGGAGCCGTCAAGACGGTGAAAATTCCATAATCGTAGTGCCATTGCTGCCACAGATTACAATCAACATTGGATTCCTTCTTTCCATCGAATTTGGAATTTTTTACCTTTCTTTCTAGGGATTGTTTCAGAAGAATTCGGCGATCTAGCTCTGAGTGGTAGTGTATGAGACGCCCTTTCGCAGCACACGATTCTACTAAGCTCTGTTCAAGCTCTTGGCCACCAATGGCGTCATCGCAGACTCGAGCGAGACGGAGACCAAGCTCCATCATGCAAAACCCCAGCTTCTTCAAATTACTCCCCAATTTCTTATACTCGTCATTCTCAGATCCGATTGACCTATCAGCTAGCTCAAGAACTTGTTCCGAATTCGAATTCTGCTCGTACTTCAGTTGCATTGCGAAAGAGGACACTTTTCTCTCTGGATTCTTCAACGGAACGTCGCTCCCCAATCTCTGCTCCTAAAGACGGTAATTAAGGGCAATAATCGTACTTAGTTTCTTAAACGAGTGAAGATTAAGTGTGAATTAGAGAAAATGAGGGACAAATTACTTGCCTTGAGAATGCGCTTGCGACTTTCGGCGTCGAGAAGAGAGAGGTCGCGAGCGAGCGGGAGGTCACGGCGGAGAGCGGCGGCGTTGGGAACGTCGACGACGGATAGCAGGCCTGGACCCATGGGCCCGAGGGCTTCCATTATGCTTCTTCGCGTCAAATCCAGCCTTTGAAGCTCTTCCGTCGACATCGACGATGATTTAGCATAGTCCGATGATAGGAATACGAGATCCGAATAAGGGAGTTCGTAAAGGTCTAAGATTTCTGCTTCCATGTTTGTCTGTCCTCCTTGTTTTCACGCAAGAGTTGAGCACATAGAGCAAAATGTTTTGATTAAAAAATCGCGGCGCCGCCACCAGTGCCGGTGAAATTCTTAAGGATACCGCTCCCAAATACCACACGACTATATTTTTTACGTCGTATTGAAGAAGACGGCAAAAGAGAGAATTTGTTGATGATGCATAACCTTTATTAGCAGCACAAACGAAAAAGAAAAGAAATACGCAGTAAAGAAAGCAATTATCTGATTGCTGAGGAGATAAATTCACGCGTAAAACTGGCTTCAATACTCAAAACTGGTTAACTCAAGTTCTAAGAAACACAATCTTTAGCCAATCGAAAAAAGTACTAAGATGGCAATCCTAAAGCCTAACCTCTCAAACTGAAGTTTGAGATATAGTTAAGTTAACATTAACCCCAATATTTCTGATTCCCAGTTAAATAAGAGGTCTTCTGAGTTTGAAGACTTCTTTTGGGCTCTTTTCGAACTCCGTCTACACAGTACAAAGTGGCAACGACATAATTTAGTGGCCTATTATCTATGAGGAATCTCCCTTTACACTACGCAGCAGTCTCCTTGAAACTTTTAGCCAACCAAATTGCAGTTTCCCTCGGAGAAACCTTTTCGGGCCCGAATGGCTTCAACAGCACGCCAAGCTCTTCGAACCTTTCTTGTTGCAAGAGACGTGCACTGAACTCCAAAAGCCCCTCTAACGCCTCCGCACGTTGCTGGTATGATGATGTGTCAAACCGACGCTGTCGTGACTCAGAAGATGACCGGCTGGATGCACCAGTTGTAGCGTTGTGTTCAGAGGACTTGCTGCCATTTCGTGTATCTCCATGGCTTTGGTCAGAGAAGCTGCGCCTGGAGAAGGCTTTGTTGACAACCTGCACCATGCACTTGTCCTTTGTGATTGAGCAGTCAGCAATGTCAGCTGAAGAAGAAGAGCACTGAGCAGATGTTGATGAAGTTTTGCGAATAGGAAAGAGAGGATCTTCAGAAGAGGCCAAGGGAAATTCAGCAATCTTGTCAATGAGCGGTGCATTGACAGAGACATCTGGAGAGTCCACACTGCAAAGGAGACCTACATTATTTCTGTAAGGGGTTTGCAAAGCGGCACCTCTCGTGGATAATGGAAGAGATGCTCTCCTTCCAAGCTGAGAAGAGTTCCTTGCTGGAGCATGCGACATCGGAAGCTGCAGAAAATATTATGGTTTAAGTAATGTAATACGGACCTCTAAACTTTGTTTTATGAGCTGTTATAGTAAATTTCCAAAGCTAAAAAAAATTCATTATGCTTGTGGTGCACACTTCTGGTAAGATTGAAAAATACAATTTTAACCATCACGAACAAACTTACTGAATCACGTTTCGAGCCAACATGAGAAATCTTGGTCATTGTGATCTGTCTCCTAGGAGTAGGAGAAGCTTCAACTGGAGTCAATCTTGGAGTTTTGGCAATCGTTGAAAATTTTGTTGTTACTGACTTCTCAATATCATACTCGTCATGGACACTTCCAATGGATACTTCACTGAACTTATGTTCCAAAAAACTTGGGAATCTTTGTGCAGTCTTGGAAGAACATGATGAGTCTTGCTCAGTTCCAGATGTACTGGGATTTAAGGTCCTATTGTTGCTGAGTGACCGCCTTTTCTCCCTGACAGTACAAAATGGAACAACTTCAGGCTCCATAAATGTGGTCTTCTTAATGTAGTTGGAATCAGACCAAGCAACTGGAAAAGTGTTCCGTCTAGGGTTGTTTAATTTGATATGAATCTTTAGGATATGAGGTTGAAGATGTGGATGACCAAGCAACTCTGCAGCCTGGAAAAATAGGGTTAAACTTCAGTAGTTTAGACAAATCTTCCTAGCACATGATGGACTAGAGATGGAAATTTTTTGAACCATTTTACTTGAAAACAAGGTGCAAAAAAGACTTACACTCGGTCTGAGTTCTGGATTTTTCCGCAACATGCTTTTAACAAGACTTCTACTGCAAAAAATGAATCAGAGAACATCTCAGGAAAGCTGTCTCACCAATCAATTCACGTAACAGATAAATGAGACATACGAAAGTGTAATCACCACAATATTGGTAAAGAAAATGAAGAGGAAAACTAACTCACAATGCACCGGAGTACAAAGTTGGAAGTGGAGCCACTATGGACTTGTTTATTTTGTTAATTAGAGCTTGCATATCCTGCACAAACAAGAATACAGAAACACACCAATAAGTGTGGAACAGACTTGCATATTCAGTGTGGAACAGACTTCCAAAATGTGTACTAGTACATTGGCTGGCGACTTTGAGTGGAATGGACTACCATAAAGTTCAACAAAAAAAAAGAAATTTCTCTGGTGTTCACTCTTTTTTTAGAACACCGGTGTTCCCTCCTTATCTGCCGTCAAATCTATATTACTTTTTCAATCTAATTTGACTTTTGCCCAGATTTAATACAGATTTGACGGCTGATGAGCAGGGAACACAGTGTTCCCAAAAAAAAGAGAACACTAGAGAAAGTCCCAAAAAAACAAAAAGATGATAGAGAACAGAATAACCAGAGCAATGGAAGAATCTACAGAATTAGAATAATATTCTGTTTACAGCATTAATGCATCTTTTAATTCAGATCGGGGTGGGATATCAATACCAGAACACAAATTTAGACAGAGAATCATTATATTCAATTTGCATTTTCCATACAAATGGTAATTCATCAAACTAAATAAACGAGACAATCAAATCGCTAACTTATTAACAGCAAACCAGCAACTTACAAAGGCTTTAAATGCAGGCTTGTGAGCAGCCATTTCATATATACAGCATCCTGAAAAACAAATTTGCGTTTTGCATATAAGCCACAGCATGACTACGATTTCTGTATATATACATACTTAAATATCTAAAAGACCCCTTACCTAAAGACCAAATATCTGATTTAGAACCATAAGGTATATCGGCAAGAAGTTCAGGGCACATATAACTTGGAGTTCCCACAACCTGCAACCGGTGCAGTGCCATTGAAGAAACCGGTTAAAGAAGTGGGCTTTCAGCAAAAGTAGAAAATATGGGAAACAAAAAGTTCAAGCGCTATAGATAAAGGGAAAAGAGAGTGTAATATTCATATAGGCTTCGCCACTCACAGAGGAAGCAAGATCATCCGAAGTCAACTTTTTGGCAAGACCAAAATCACCTGGATCCATCACATTAGGGAAGAATAAGAGCAAAATACTAAAGACATAGCAACATAAACCAAGGGATGTGTGAATAGTGAGAGAGATACTTGTAATGTCAATTAAAAATGAAACAAAAGGTTAGATTTATTACCTAAGCGTATGTCTTGGTCTTTTGTCAAAAATATATTTGAACACTGAAGCAATTAGAAATAATCAACATAAATTCGTGAGTTCTATACAAATAATCTTAACTAATTTGTGTCTACTTTTACACTGACCTTGACATCACGATGAAGGACGTGGTTGGCATGCAAATAATTAAGTGCCATCAGGAGTTGAACTAGCCACTTACAAAGTTTCTGCACACATTCAGTTTTAAGAAAGAAACACATTACTTGAGTACAGCAATCACTGCAACAGATACGAGATAGCGAAAAATTCATATTTCTAGCTGAAAATCGGCTGTGAGGCAACAACCTCTTCAGGAAAATGAACACCATTAACTCTTTTTATAGCTTCTGCCCTGTAAAAAGACAACAAATAGCAGGAACCATACGTCAAAAAGAAAGAGAAAACTAGCACCAACAGAAACAGGTATTAAAAGGGAAGAAAGCAATTTTCGAAAAAAAAAAAAAAAATTCAAGCAAGAGAAATTACTCACATGTCTCCTCCTTCACAATATCCAATAATAATGCATACAAAGCAACCCTACAAGTGGGGTGCCAACACGTCAGTCATATGATCAGACAAAATAATTAGAAACATAAACTTCTAGTAAGCACTGAAACATCATTACTCAATAATATGGTTTATTGAGAAAGAAAATAATTAAAAATGCTCAGTGTAGATTCTGTAGAAACGAGTGAACCATAGACCAAAGCAAATGAAGGTGGACATATGCTATTTGACACTGAAATAATGTAATTTTAAAAATGAATAAGATTTCTCATAAGATTATAACCTTTTCTACCCATGAATCTTTGTACTCCACAATGAATGGATTCCGTACTTTAGAAATCAGCTCCATCTGCCACATAATAAAAAACAACAACTTAAAAACAAGTTAGTAAATAAGGTGCGTCAAATTACCTACCACGGGAACAAAGTTATTACATTTAATAAATTTGACAACCATTGCAGCAAGTTAATTTAAGAGATCAAGGCCTAGATAACAAGAAATCACAAATGATTACAAAGGATAATAATAGCTCATAAAGAATTCAACGTGCAAGAGAAACATTGCATCATACTAGTGTGAGTATTTGTAATTTGTCATATAATGAATCACTAAGATCAAACCACATCGTTTGCTCCCAACTCGCAAGAATCGCTTCAAAAAAGATAAGTACTTGCTTTCACTAACTCAAGAAAACATAAAACAGCCTCAAAATGAATATCTTGTTTTTATTTATTTATATATATCTTCAAGAATAAACATAAACATGGAGATAAACATAACAACCTCCTGGTGAGCAGATCGACGGGTTCTGTCGGTTTGTCGAGCAAGACGGATCTTCTTAAGAACATACCTATGAAGGAGAAAAGATAACGATAAAAGGTAAATGGTAACGACCAAAAAAACAAAGGACAATTTAATTTAGAGAGTCTCTCATCAAACATTCATCTTAGCCTCAAGACATAAACTGGAAAATCACTCACTTCTTCTTTTCATGCTTATGCCTCACAAGAAGTGCAGAACCAAAAGAACCTTTCCCAATCTGCTCCAAAACTTCATACTGCTCCATCTGACCTTCTCACTCACAAGTCACACTCTTCCTTCTCAGTGTCTATACCTGGCAAAGCTTCACACAAAAAAAAAAAAAAAAAAACAAACAAACAAACAAAACATAAGAAGGGCCTTACAAAAACACACACAAGCACCACATATACCCAAATTGAAGCCAAAATACCGCCAAATGTAAATACATCACTAATTAATCACCAACAGTACAGGACAACCAGCAGAACAAAACTGTTATTTCTAATTCTTCATACCTAAATATGTTTGAAATCAGCTAACTGAAATGCTCAGGCGTTTACAAAGCAAAAGAACTACAGAAGTTGAGCACCAAGAATTGATTTCTAAATTTGAACTTTTAAAGGGTATATCTCCAATTCCAAGCTTCCATAAATATGTAATTGCTCGGCTATTATCCACCCAATATCAAAACTGGGTTTATTAAAGTTAGTGGCTCAATAAATGAAGAATCAACAAAGATCAATTTAGTTTATGAGAAACCGAACTTAAATGACCCCACCTCGTTTAATGTAGGACCAAACATGAATGAATTTTCCATTATACAAAAAATAAAAGCAAAGTAACGAGCTTTCTGCCCATGAGCACTCAATAAAATCCAAGGCCTACAACGCTCACAAAAAAATACAAATGAATGTAGCTTGGGGGAAAAGAAAATTCAAAATTCGACTGCGAAGCCCCCGAAAAATAAAAGAAGAGCGAAAAAAATTCACAAACTTATTAAAGAAACAGCTCAAGAAAAGTAA